TGCCAAAATGACGATGAGAATAGTGATGGTAGTAGTGGTGAAAGCAAGAAGAATGATAGAGAGAGCACTCCTAAACGAAGTAGAGTGCAGGGTGACAGTCTTAGTAGACGCGTGCAGTTTTCTTCTGTTATTACTACGGTATCTGTCTTTAATCCTGAGAATAGCGTAGCTCCCCCTACGACGCTCGGTCCCGGGGTCCCAGATAGTGGACTATAGAAACATTTTGTGTTTCCCGCCGCACTGGCACTGACGTCTTTTAATTGGTCAGCCGGTTAGCGCGGTCGATGCTAAAAATAAAAACACACACACGGACATCAATTTGAGAACAGTAATTAATTCAGGGGTCGGGCTGACAGGCGGTGTTATTCAACGTGCGCAGAACCCAGGCAGGGAAAAAAAAGGACCCATGCCATATATAACAGTTTTTTTGCGAAAAAAAAACTCCGCTATCGCTCCATTTTTTTTCGCACGCGCGCTTCGCGCGCGGAAAAAACTCCTGAAAGGCTGTGGTCTCGAATCTTGCACCACTTCTCTGGTCCGAGTTTGGCTTGCTTGGCGGCCGAGCCCTTCGTTGGTGATCTCGCCTGCCCTTGATATATGTGGCAAAACATCTTGGGCGCCGTGCGTTCCTGTGCGAAGCAGCTTCGCGGTTGGCAGCAAACACCATCACAGTGGCCCCGAAGAAGTAGCTCCTCTGGGATAGAGCAACTGCTGTTCTCAGAGTTGGATGTGGATGGTCCTGACGTACTCGATTCATGCACTCGGCGCGATGATTTAAAAAAAAAATGTGATCTCCTCACCTGCAGGGAAATTGCGCGATGTTTTTTCCGATCTCCGCATCTCCGCGCAATGTCCCGGTCCATGATGTTGTCGCACAAAATAGATCCTCGTGCTGTGCATTTTTCTCTTCTGTCAGTGTCACAGCGCTTCGAAGGCGAGGATACAGCAACTACTGTTCTCAGAGTTGGATGTGGATGGCCCTGACGCCCTCGATTCATGCACTCGGCGCAATGATTTCCAAAAAAAATGTGATCTCCCCACCTGCAGGAAAATTGTGCGATGTTTTTTCCGATCTCCGCATCTCAGCGCAATATCCCGGTCCATGATGTTGTCGAAGGCGCTCCCTCCAGAGTTGTGACTCAGAGACCTCGCTCGTTCGCTCGAAGTTTTGTTTGTGCAGGAGTAGTGACGTTCGGATCCCTCACCACCCGCCCACCGTTCATTGTGGTACCTCGCCCCGTATAATCGTCCCTTCGGTACTGCAGGTCCACGGCAGCAGCACCCAGGCATGGCAGTCTCCACCGCAAAAGCAGCCTATTTCGGATACAAAGCATTCCAGGCTTTCAGGCTCCTCGCGGGCGACGTCACAGTCGTGGCGGAGGTGGTAACGGAGCTACTGGCGGAAGGCCTGGGCGAAGCCGCCATAGAAGCAGCAATCGAGGCAAGCGCCGAGCATGTGGTCGACGCGTTTCAGAACGGGGCGGAGTTTAACGAGAACGCCCTCAAGTTCCGAGATTTCTGCGCACAACTCTCTGCGGAACTTGGTGAAAACAACCCAGCGGCCAAGGCGGTTATTGAAGAAGCTCAACAGCTCTACCAGACCTTCGTCTCCATCGACACCGACGGGTCGGGAACGATTTCAAGAAAGGAGCTGCATAAATACTTGTGCTCGACGTTGAACTACACTCAAAAGGTGGCCAACGAGCTATTCGACCACCTGGACACAGACAAGGACGGTGAGATGCGGCCGGGATGTACGTGCGGTGTATGTAGCCTACTCACTAGGCTGAAGGCAGTGAATGGTGTACAGGTTCCGTTGCGGTTGTCCTTGAAAACCAGCTTATCATGTATGTATGTAGAGTTCAGCTTTTGTGTTTCTATTGCTCTATTGCGGTCACGTGATGACGACATGGATGATCATTTTTTGGCCGATGCCATGTGGGGTTGCGTGCAATTCGGGGCACGTCTCCGGTACTACTTCCTCCGTATCATAAGACAGGGTACCTGGATTTGTACGGGCCCTTGACCGTGTCCGATCTGTGTCTCGATGACTTTGTTGAAATCTTCGGAGTTTTTTTAGCGCGAAACATTTTTTTTTTTATGCATGCGCCACCCCGCGTGCATGAGCGGCCGAGAAAAAACAGTCGGCCTGAAAAAGGTCGTATTCTGCATGCATTCTGCCCCTTCTGACCAGGCGGGGGGGGG